GGGGAGCGGGGGGAGCGAGGGGCTGCCTGGGGAGGCGAGGGGGGACCTGGGCGGAGAGTGGGGAGCCGGAGGGAGGGAGGAGAGGGTGCAGATCCGAAAGCCCCGCCGCCGGCCCGGCCGAGCCGGGGGGTTTGTTGTTGTTGTTGCCGAGGCTCCTCCCAGGCCCCGGGCAGGGCGGCGGGATGTGGAAGAACTGCCGTGGAGCCTCGGCCTCTACTTCCCAGCCTGGTCAGCCCCCGCGGTCGCGCCCCTCCTGGGTCGGCAATCAGCCCCAGCCCCTTTCGAGACCCCCGGTTTTGGGGATTCCCGACCCGCTTCTCCCCAGCAGCTAAGCCGTCTCGGGCCTTGCTCCCCCTCTTTGAAGTCTACGTGGAGTAGAACTTCCCGGTTTAGGCGTAATTGGCACAATGAGGCAAAGCCTTTCCTCTCTCCCTCTGCACCGCATTCGCCGCTCCAGTCGTGCTCCGGGGACTGGGAGGGGCGGAGGAGCCCCGTCGTGCGGGGGGCGGTATCGGCCTCTGTGCGGCTCCCCTGGGTCCTGTTGAGCTTCCTGGGACACAAGTCCGGCTGCCTCCCTGGCCAGAGCGCAGAGACCACAAAGCAAAGGGCCTAATAAACGCCACTGGGCTTTTATGGCAAGAAGTGAAGCAGCTTTATTATAAGGCTTTACAATGCGAACCCTTTACCCAAGGGCGCTGAGTATGTTTGGTCTGTGTGATTGATGTAAAGGGTTACACCCTCAGGGAGGGCGGGAAGGACAGGTTCCGAGGCAGAGGACGGGGCTGTGGGCAGCAAGGAAAGGCAAGGACGCCCAGGCGTGGATGAGGCTGGGCACTGAGGCCTGGGGGACGGGGGACGGGGGCAGGACAGTGCCTGGTGGTGGTAGGAGAATGGAGTGCGATGAAGGGGGTTGCGAGAGGAGCCCGGGAATCGGGAGCACAGGGGTAAAGGGGAGATGTGCTGAGAGATGGGGCCTCACACCTCTGACCCGCTCACCTGAGGGGGAGGCGGGGAGGGCTCCCCACAGTATAAAGCTCAGAGCTCACATCCACGTTTTCCTCTGCCCCCAGGACATGAGGGAGACATGGAGAAGGTGAGTCCCACTTTCACTGTTCCTTCCTTTCCACCCCCAGCTGCCCACCCATCACCCACCACTGGGCCCCGCCTCTGTACCCACTCAGACAGGGTTTCTGGGTGCCCTACCCCTCCCTGCTCCAGAGATGCCATGTGGTAGGAGAGGGGGCAACAGAGGGCAAAGGGTGGCTACTGGTTTCCTGACCTTTCTCCCTCATTTGTCCAGACTTGATGCCCCCACACCCAAGTCATCTCGCTCCGAGGACGAGCTCCCCGAGGACTACCCGGTGGTCAGAAACATGCTGCACAGGCTGGCGGGTAAGGAGGCTGTTTCAGGTCTGCTCCTTCTGTCTCTCAGAAATCACCAAGCCCTTTGGACTGTGTCTATGTCCTAGGGACGCTGTGACACAGCCTCACGCAGGGGCTCAGCACCAGCAGCTTATTCTCACCGTCCTGGCCGCGGGGGCCTGCTGAGGGCTGAGTCGGTCCTACTCTCCTCGCCTTTGGGGCCGTTCTCCCTGTGTCTTCACATCGTGTTCCCTCTGCACCCATTTGTCTCTAGGCCCAAACTTCCCCTTTTTATAAGGACACCACTCATATTGGACTAGGCTCCACCCTACTGACCTCATTTTAACTTGATTACCTCTGTAAAGACTCTGTTCCCAAATAAGGTCACATTCTGAGGTATTGGGGGAGGAAACAGATTCAACCCATAACAATGTCTACCCTCAAGTCCTCCTGTTCCAGCCATTCTTTCCTCTTACCTTTTCAAACACTCACACAACAGACCCCTGAAGGTCAGTGGCCTTTCAGAAACCCGTTTCCGCTCACTCCTCTCCTGCACTTCTGCCCCGGACGCTAGGCGCCTCTGCAGCCACTGGGAGTCCCTGCCTCCACCCTCCTGGTCACCCACCACCCTGCCACCCCAGATTGCTTCTTGTACCCCGAACCCAGAAATCTTTTCTCAAGGCCCCCCATACACTCAAGGCCAATAACTATTTCTCTGGCCCCTTTGGCTATCACCAAACTGTCCAACTCTGCCCCACGCTCCCTGTAGGAGGCCTGTCCACTCCACCTATTCCTGTGGGTGAGTGGGCTGGTTTCTCCAGATACCTAGGATTCCTCCCGCCCCTCCCCTCTGACACTGGGGTTCCGGTATCTGGTATCACTCTGTCTCTAGATCCACCTTCCCCATCCTGCTGCCCCAGCTCCCAGCCCCACCCCAGATACTGCAGATGGAGGTGTCAGGCCTCATTCCTCCTGTCAGGCCAGCCTCTCTCCTTCCCAAGTCCAGTCCTACAGAAAGGGCATCAGTGCGCAGGCTGGGTCCTGCCCAGACCTACCCTCCTGAGTCCCACAGCCACCTTGCAGCTGCCTGGGCCTCTAGGTGCCCCCCGCTGGCAACGCTGGGTCCTGTGCCCCCTGACCCAGCAACCCTCTCTCTCGGCCCCCCTCCTGTCTTGTGCTCCACAGCCAACCTGACCCTGGACCCTAGCACTGCCCACCGCCGCCTGCTCATCTCCGCTGACCGCCGCAGCGTCCGGCT